GGGGGAACCTCCTCGCCAGGTTAGTCTCAGCCCCCGAGATTTACCTTTCTCCGACGGAGATAATTTTTGTTGCTGTTGTTGTTGCTGCTGAAATGGTCTTTGTGGGAAGGACCCGGCCGTGAGGTTTGCTCCGGGGTTGGTTTATTTTCCTCTTGACGGTCACTCCCGCAGCAAAGCAGTCGTCTGGTCGTATTTGCAACTTGCTGAGAAGAGATCTTAAGTCTAGAGGCTTAATTCAGGGATGGGACGGGGAGAATAAAACGGGGGCTATAAAGGAACGCTTTTTTTTTTTTTTTCTTCTCTTTTTAGATCGATCTAGTGCCTTGGAAGTAGAGAAAAAGTTAATAAAGACAGCTTTCCAGCCAGTGCAGAGGCGGTAAGAGATTGCTTCCTCAGTCTCCTAAGGATATATAGAGGCAGTTGTAAATGGTTAGCTTATTTTCTCCGCTTCTTTAGTCCCCTTTCCAGGGCGGTTTCTTGTTCTTCCTCTGCGTGCGTGGTGGGTTATTCTGATTATCTCTCTCTCTCTATATATATATGTATATATATATATTCCCGAGCACCCCCGGCCTGGCCGGGACACGCCGGTGCCGCCCGGCCGGAGGGAGAAATAGAGCGGCAGTGGGAAAACAATAAAAATTCAAAATATAAACCCAAACCCAGCTAGTACGCGAGGTAAAGAGGCTGCGCCTTGCTGCCCTGAGTTTGGCGTAGCAGTCACCGAAATCAATTACTCTTTTGATTGACTGAAACCACGGGGATCGGGCCCGTGGTATTTTTGTAGCTAAATAAATTTGCTGTAAATCACGCTGAAAAGTTTTTTATTTTTAATTTAGAAATCTATTTTTAAAAAATAACAACAACAACAACAAAACCAGTGCTACCTACAGTTAAAAATATTGTGCCAGCCCGATCTGACTAGAAATCCTATTAAATTTTTTTTTTTTTCTGTGTCATTTTTTTCCAGGCCCCAGAACCAACTTGATGCCGCTATGGTTCTATCGGCGTTGTCATCATCATAGTTAATTTTTTATTGTTGTTGTAATGATTGTAAAAAAAAAAAAAAAATCTCTGTATAGTTACAACTTGTAAGCATGTCCGTGTATTAAAACTAAAAAGGAAAAAAAAAT